ATAAGACAGACACGTGCAAGTAGATTGACAACATTGGAAAAATAGGCCAAAAGAAAGACAACTCTGTACTTTAAAGTTTCAGGTAAAAAGGAGAGAATAGAAAGAGAGGAGGGGAATGATTTTGTTTATACTACATTTGTTTATTTCTAAAGCTACGTTTATACTATCTACATTTGTTTTAAAAGCTACCTATGTAGACATCTCCATGCAGAGCAAAACATTTTCTCACAGGGTCAATGTCTTTAGATAATTCTTTGAAAATCAAATCAAATCAACGTTGGATTGGTCACCAGTAAATAACCCTGATATGAATCTTACAGGTATGTGAAATCCAATGAAACAGCAGCTTCAGAACAGAGACTTCGCTCTCAATTCAGACCCTTAGTTTGCAACTCTCTGTGGCATTTAGGATGAAATGACAGATCATTATGTCCATTTAGGATGAAATGACAGATTATTATGTCCAAAATTTAATAGAGTCAAAACGTTCGTGGACTACATCATGCAAGTGCTGGAACGTCATATCTCATCCGGTGATTCTCATGAGCGCGGTTTTATTCGTTCCACCCAAGACTACCCAAAACATAATATGGAAGTCTCGTGGCCTCTGTTCCTCACTGACAGACTATGGTTATGTCCAAACTCTAGCTAACACAGCCCATATCATTATGCATAAAAGATTTCGTGTACGAAACCAATAGCTCATAAAAATATATAAAAATTGTATTAATGAGCACATTTAATTTTAAGTCCTGGTTTTGCACAGTATTTATGACTACTCTGTTTTCCAATATTTTTGAAAATATCATCAGAAAATGCTGTTCATTGCAGAGATAATAATATTCTCTTTTCGTTAGCTATTCCATGCATGTTCATTCCACCGATGCTGATGCACCCCGCTCTACGCGCGTAAAACATTTTTACTTTTTTTGATTTCGCATAATTTTGCCAAGCCAGAAATTTAAGGTCAATTTTGAGGGATCATATCTCGCGCATTTCTTAACATAGATGAAATATTAATGGGTCAGATGGTGCAGAATCTTGCAATTGGTATGCTGTATGAGCTGGTAGAGCAAGGCTATAATACGATGATTGGGTGATTGCATTTTCAAGTTTCTTTTGGATCCCACTGCATAATACTAAATAGTACGTTTGTTTTAAAAACACAAGGTATATCTGTCTGTAAAGACTATCTACATATTGTAATAAGTTTTAACTAAGTGTGTATTCATGTGTGCGTTTGAAGTACAGGTGCGCTCGCGAGTGTGTATGTGTGTGTGTTTGTGTGTATGTGTGTGTATGTGTATGTGTGTATGTGTGTGTATGTGTGTGTATGTGTGTGTATGTGTTTGTGTATGTGTGTGTGTATATGTATGTGTTTGTGTGTATATGTGTATGTGTGTGTATGTGTGTGTATGTGTGTATGTGTTTGTATGTGTGTGTGTGTGTGTGTGTGTGTGTGTGTATGTGTGTGTGTGTGTGTGTATGTGAGAGTGTAGGTTTTATATTGGTCGCATATAATAAACCTGGCACCTGTGCTGTGTTATATTCATGTATAAGGTTCTTCACTGTTAGAAAAAAAAATAAAGAACTGAGTTAAATTCTCGCGTGGTGGATGGTGCGCGAGCAGGTATGTCTTACTGTACCGAGTAACTTCGCTATTCTGTACAGGATCTTGCATCCTCCTCAGCCTAGGTTGACCCTGATTAAAATCAGAACGGAATCTGTCGACTCGTGAATTATCCAAATGCTGTGGGGGCGTAAAACGTTTACAGCTTTCTTTAAGGTGGGGGTGGGGGTGGCGGGGGTGTAGTGATTTATCGCAGTTTGAAACAAAGTAGATCGTATAGAATGAATGCGGAAGCAAATGAGTTTGAAACAGATATGTGGGAGAACAAATAAAAACCCACAGAACGTGGAAATGTGACTCTTTTTGTATACAAAGAATACCCCCAAATTTTTTATATGTCTTGAAATTTCCAAAAGATTAATCGAAGAAAAAAAAACGCGCCAGAGAAACGAAGAGAGAGGGAGAGAGAGAGAGAGAGAGAGAGAGAGAGAGAGAGAGAGAGAGAGAGAGAGAGAGAGTTTGGGGGAAGGGGTGTCCAGTTTCCTTCACATCTTTCAATCCATCTGCCTGTCCTCATTTAGAAAGTAAAGCCTAAGGAATGAGATGGATTTATCGAAATGCGATATTCCAGTGTGTTAATATAATTATCTCAACTGAAATGTCAGGAATACTTTGAATTTCGTTTTTGTTTTTTGTTTTTTGTGCTGATCATGTCAAGAGGAAATACCAAAAACACGTGCGGAACTATCTCAAATTTGTGACTATAATTAATGAAACATGATGTTAAACTGAAAGTCTAAAATTACGAGCTTACATACAAAGCGATTACGTAAAGAAGCAAGGACTTGTATTTAATCTCTCTCGGAAAAAAAACCTTTTTGACGGTTTTGTAAGTCTAAAGAACCCACCAACAAATGATTGCCTGTGACACAAGAGACCAACTCTGTTTTGTTTGTTTTTGTAAAGTGTTTTACGGCGCTCGCAACTGCATAAGGTCAAATGAACGCGCGGGACACACCTAATATTTTCAGTTGGTAGGAAATTTTGAATTTTTCCAGGGTGCGGCCGAAGCCTACTCTTATCGATTTTAGACCTCCAAGGGATCTTTAACGTGCGCCACTTGCACACGGGCCCTCCGAAATTTTTCGCCCTTGTCTGAGAAGGCAAGGTGTTGATCTTTTCTACCTATTGAAAGTTTAATGCCGTCTGCTTCTTTCAAGATCAAAACAAACGACTAGCAGGACAGCATGTGTAAAGAAAGCACAAAATGAAGATGAACCAATAAATACGACATCTAAGTACAACATGCACAAGGAAATGGACAGTTAGCCCAGAAATAGCGAAGAAGAGACAGTTAAAAAAAGACTACCAGTTGTTAAATACTGATGATGATGATGACAATGAAAACATGACCCTCACTTTGAGGTGAGAGAAGCATGATGTACTTTGAAATACATGTACAATGGTCATTGATAAAAAGTAAGACAGGTAGCAGACAGAAAGAGCAGAGGGAAAGAAAGGGACCCTCAAGAAGCGCCCAACAAACACCTGCGATGAAAAGAGAATAAACATGAATACCTTACCGATAAAACTTACAACAAAAAAGACCAGTAAGATAGATTCCACACAATAAATTTATTAAATATATACATATTATATTTCAGCTCGATGTACAAAAGGAGATTTTGTTTGCGCAGTTTCAATTTTATACAAATGATTCTGAAAGCTGCACTGAGGTTCAAAGGAAAGGCGCACAAAAAAGATTAAAATAGACCAAATATTACAGAAATTCCGTTTTTCGAATTCTTGAACTGTTCAGAACGGACAGAAGAAACATATGGACGGTTCAGTCTGTGTATACGTATATTTGATACCAGTTCCCAGGTGTCAACACCGTAGGGTTGGAGTTCAGTCTAGACAGTCTAGTCAGAATAATGCCCATTTAAGGGCTAGGATTACAGTCACCTACACTGTAATTCCTACTGAGGTATCGGCGTGCTTGACTTGTTTCATCCAGTGTATAACATACTCCCTACAAACGGGTAGTTTGACTCACTAAACTGGGAATCTGATGGACTTTTTGAGCCACAGACACAAGTGGACATTAAGTCGGCAAGTGGCTCTCACTCCAACGGGCTGATTCTCCATCTGAGGGGCCAACCCAAACCACAGAACGTGAGTTCAAAAGCGTGACCTCTCTGATATGCCGACAGCCTTGACCACAACTTTGAGTTCCAAAGGGTGACCTCTCTACGGCTTGAACCCAGGCTTGAATTTTAAAGAGCGATCTCTTAGACAGACGAAGGCCTTGACCCCAGGTTTGATTTTTAAAGCGTGACCTCTCTGGTAAGTGACGGCCTTGACCCAAGGTTTGAGTTCTAAAGCATGACCTCTCTGACGGGCGACGGCCGTGACCCCAGGTTTGAGTTTTAAAGCGTGACCTCTCTGACGGGCGACGGCCTTGAACCCAGGTTCGAGTTCTAAAGCGTGACCTCTCTGGTAGGTGACGGCCTTGACCCCAGGTTTGAGTTCTAAAGCGTGACCTCTCTGACGGGCGACGGCCTAGACCCCAGCGCAGGCCGCCCGGAGCACTCGGAGTCTCTGTTCATCTTGCCACAACACGACCAGTGCTGACCCCCTGGGTGTGACCCCTGGCCGTGGGTACAGCCCAGATAGCCGCCTGGAAACCACAGAGAAAGGAGAAGGGGGTTGTGGGTTAGGGGGATTGGGGTGTTTGGTGGTCGTAGGGGTTGTGGGAGGGTGGGGAGGGAGGAACGTGTAACAGTACAAAGACATCTATTGTCTGAAATTGATACGTGTACACTGAAATATGGTGGACTTACAAGAGGCAGATTAAAAATATATCTGGAAGTGAATTATCAATAAGCAGAAATTAATTGTTATAAATGAGGAATTTTCGGATCAATAGGCAGAAATTAATTGTTATAAAAGAGGAACTTTCGGATCTTGGGTAAGTGTTAGAAAGACTGAACGAAAGAATAAACTGAAAAGAGAGAAGAGAAAAACTATTCTACATGCATTGATCCAAGGAAGAAAACTTGAGTCACACTAGCAGAAATCACGTTTTCAGAAATACGTTTCTCGAGGCTGCATCGACAAGACATATGTAAGGCAAGGCAGCGTGGTGGAATCAGGCTCTTGTCAAAATAATCAAAATGAAGTAACCTGCATTTTTCCACAGGTTTGTGAATTTTTATCAAATTTTTTTGTTGGGTTTTTTTTTTGCTCAGCACCTTTCATGCCCGTTAAAGTACTCATTTCTGTGTGGATTCTTCATAAGAACGCTGATTAAAGGCACAAAAAATGTAAATTTTCAGTTACCACGGACTCTTAAGCTAAGGTTATAACTAATCTTTGGCGACCATTTTCTCACTAATTTTACCTCTGAAAACAGGTGACCCCCCACCTCCTTCATTCACAAATATCTCGACTTGTATTCAAGGTAAATGGATACTTTTTTCATCCAAATAAAGACAAGTAAACAGGCTTTAGGATGATACCAATAAATCTACATGCCCAAACATTGACGACAGCCTGATTCCACCACGCTGCTTCACACATTACAGATACACAACGTCACAGTGAAGGCTATACTCAACTTGCATCTGCATTTATTCCTCCTCTCCAACACCTCCTCCACTTTTCCTCCCCTCTTATGATACTCCTCGGGAAAGTATTCCAACGAAAGAGAGAAGGGGAAAGAGAGGGAGAGAGAAAGACGGAAAGACAGAGAGAGAGAGAGAGAGAGAGAGAGAGAGAGAGAGAGAGAGAGAGAGAGAGAGAGACGGCGAGAGAAAGAGAGAGACCGAGACGGAGAGAGACAAAGAGAGACAGAGAGAGAAGTTACACAGCCTGCCCAAATACGTGAGAGTAGCTACCTGGTGAAGTGGCGCCACATCCGCAGATGACGTCACGCCTGCCGCTGGTGGTGCAGAAGGTACAACACTGCCACACCCCGTCATGCCGACGCCATCTTGCTTTCACATTAAACCTTAGAGGGCTGTCCTGGGGAGTTGAAGAGGTGTAACTTCAAGGGGTTCATGCTACTAAAATACAATAACGAGGCAAATTGCTATCCCAAAAGTATAAAGTTTTATCCCATCAATACTAACTTTTGAGAAATTTGACGTAAAAAATTTCGAGTTTCACATGTCAAGCTTTTTCGAAGGCAATTGTGAGGCAGCGTGGTGGAATCAGGCTCTCGTCAATTTTTGTACATATTGAGTTATTGGTATCATCTTAAACTTGTTCATTCGTCTAGCTTTCAATGAAAAAATTACCCATCCATCTTTAATAGAAGTGGAGATATTTTGCATCGAAGGAGGAGGGGGTCACCTGGTTTAAGAAGTAAAATTAGCGAGAAAATGGCCGCCAAAGCTTGGTAAATTCCAAAGCTGGAGTGTCCATAGAGACTGTAAATTTATATCTTTGTGCCTTTAATCAATGGTTTTTTTTAGTGAAATCCTCCAAGGAATGTGTTTGTAAATGACCATTAAAGGTGTTGAGCCAATAAACAAAACTTTGATACAAATTGCTAACAGGGGCGAAGGCTGACTTGTTCGACAGGGTAATCAAAGTGAAACGGGATCAGAATCAGATATGGCCTGTAGATATCACACAAGAATCTTACTCGAGGCGGCGACTCTGAGTTGTGAATGAAAACAAATCCGGAATTCATACTGTATGTTCAACCGCCAAAATAATCGGGAAAGTATCTTTTTAAATATCAGTTCCAACTAAAATTAAATTTAACTTTAGATGTGAATCATAAACACAAAGCAAAGAAGCAAAGATGTCAGTACTAGATCTATATGTTATAGATCTACCAGTGAGTCTAACTCTTTGGTAGAACATGACAATTATCATTTTTTAAATTTCACATTTGGCTGTTTTTGTTAGCCTTTCGCGGCCAGGAGCTGGTGTCATAATCGAGGTCATGATCTGATTATAGGACGGTAAAAAGTCGAGGAAAAAAAACAAGCACATGGAACAGTCAAGAGATTATTAGAAGTTAGTTCCCCTTACATTTGTGAGGTAGACTCGACCAGTGTTAGTTAGCTTACTTAATCAGGGCTCGCGATTGATTTTAACTGTGGCCCCAAAGGGGTGAACAGGGTATATGTGGCAATGAAACAGCTTTGACTGCTATGTACATAGTCCCTTAAATTCTATTGGTAGACTCTTCCAGCCTTACTTTAAGCTTACTTAATCAAAGCTTGCGACTGCTTATGGAGTGGCCCGAGAGGGGTGAGCAGGCTATTTCTGTGGCCGTGAAACCGTTTTGAATGTTAGGCATACTGTTCATTGTTGATTATGAACGCCTTTTTTCATTGAATTTATGAGGTTTACGTTTAAGGATGAATTTGACAGCGACAATGTTTCGAAATTAGGAAGGGAAGCAGTGATTATTTGATTATATAGACGCTTCGCCCCTGATTGCTAATCAGGGAGAAAACTACTGTTTTCTTCGATTTTATTATTTTGACGAGAGCCTGATTCCACCACGCTGCCTCACAATTCTTTGAATATGTAGATAACGACTCCGAATAATCTTACGATTTTGATAGAACAGATAGAACAATTGGTCTTCGTTACTAAAAACGCCAAAAAATGTCAAAACTTTGTAATTCTAAGGTAGCGACACGTAAACAGCTGTATAACTAACGTAACGATCAAATCAATCATAAATCCAGAGACGTGAGCTCTGGGCACTTTTTGGGGAAGATGAATAATATATTTTGGATCAACGAGTGAGCACAATAGATACTTCCGTCTGAGTAAATAAAAGCACATCGACACGATAACGTCATTCAGTTTAGAGAACATGGTATGACCGACACCTAGTTTAAGGACATAATACGATTTGTAGTGATGCGTCTTGCATCTTATCAGACTGAAAACTTGTTAGTTCAATTCTGCTCAGTACGCCAAAGAAAAGATTTGTGGTTAAGCAAACTGACAACGGTCTTCAGTGGGTTTATTTGAACCAACAGATGCATCACTCAACAGCCAGCCTCACTATCCACTTTTGGTTTGGATGGTGGTGGTTGGGGGGGGGGGTTGGAACTGATACAGGCAACTACTTTGTTTGGAAACTTGAGAAGCAAAATTATCTGATATCATAATTATTGTTTGTACTTACTTACTTACTTTACTTTTAATTTTTTACTTTTTCCTCCCCTGTTGCCGTTAAGCGTTGAGGGGAGATTCAGTTTTCTATGGTAGGCCAGCTCTGCAGATCTTTCAGTTGTGATGTTATGTTTTCTTAGGGTTTCCTTGACACCCTCGATCCACCTTTTGTTTGTAGCAGAATTAACTTGAAACAGAATTAACTTGAAAGGAAATTAGAATCTCACCCACCGCACCCCCTCCCCCTCCCCCTCCCCGAAGAGCCCACTTTTGTGCCCAACATCGTGTCCGGAGAAATAAGCACAAAAAGGTCACTAACATGGACAGGCTCGCCGTTTACGGCCACGTGCAGAAAGTGCGTGCCTTTGTGTGTCGGGGTGAAGGACAACTGATGGATGCCGTCCTTGAACGGGGTCAAGGTCACTGGTGTGCTCCTGAAGAAACCATCAGAGGGCAGGGGTCATTAACTCCTCAAAAGGAAAAAAACAACCAAAAAAAAGAAATCACAGAACATCTCAGCTACGACATCACAACAGAAACTCAAGCGGTCCCAGCGTTATCAAATTACTGGCTTTTCGTAGGTCCCACCACATAATGATATTATGAGGAATTTTATATTTTATCCGCAATTGTCGTGTCTATACCTACACTCCCCCCCCCCTCTCTCTCTCTCTCTCTCTCTCTCTCTCTCTCTCTCTCTCTCTCACTCACTCTCACTTTCACTCTCTCTCTCTCACTCTCTCTGTCCCTTTCAATAGACAGACAGAGATAGATAGATAGGCAGATGTTTTAGTGTTCATTCTGCTTTCATGTCTTGTGAGAAATCAATCTTAAAAGGGAGACAACTCGTACTTTGTAACATAGAACAAGTAGACCGCTTCGTTGCTTCCTTTAACGAGCAATTTTTAATAGCCGAAAAAATCTACGACCTCTTAACTCTTTGTGGCTCGGATTTTCATTTCACAAAGTCGGTGCAGGCAAACGGTAGGAAATGAAATAAACTGCCCTAAAATCTAAGAAATGTCAGCTTTTCACATGGGCTAGGAAATACGGAAGAGAGCTTGTTCACATAACATACAATATAATTTCTTTGACTGTGAGAAGCCGAAAATTGAAAGAATTCTCCAGTCGTGAACATATGTGAGGCATCGTGGTGGAATCAGGCTCTCGTCAAAATAATCAAAGTGAAGAAACTTGCATTTTTCCTCAGGTTTGTGAATTTTCATCAATTTTTTGGGGGGCTCAACACCTTTCATGCCCATAAAAAAAAACACTTCTATGTGGATTTTTCTGAAAAACGTTGATTAAAGGCACAAAAAATGTAAATTTTCAGTTATCACAGACTCTTAAGCTAAGGAAATAACTAATCTTTCGCAGCCATTTTCTCACTAATTTTATCTCTGAAAACAGGTGACCCCATCTCCTTCATTCGCAAATATCTCAACTTGTACTCAAGATAAATGGATATTTTTTCATCCAAATAAAGACAAGTGAACAAGCTTTTAAGATGAAACCAATAACTGTACATGCCCAAAAACTGACGAGACCCTGATTCCACCACGTTGCCTCACATATTATGTTATTCAAAGGGTGTCATAACGTTCGCATGTATGAGCTCAAAATGTTACGTGAATTCTGTGGTGACAATTTGAATAAGCTAGCCCGATCTTTTTATGCTTGTTCATTTGTTTCTGTAACATTCCAAGCATAGTCAATCTCAGGCATAAAACTTCTGGTATCGTACTTGATGTTCTGTTCTTGTACGATGACCCAGGCTCGGACTCTGACGTCATTTCCGGTATATGGCACGGCTTCCGTGTCACACACGGTCAAGGTCATTAGACAAGCGTGTAGCACTCGTGCTGTAGTGAGTCCTGTGAAGTGAGATGTGTTGAGATATGTTTGTTTGTTTTCCATATAATAATAATAATCATAATAATAATAATAATAATAATAATAATAATAATAATAATAATATATAACATTTATATAGCGCATTTCCAAAAAAAAAGTAGCTCAATGCGCTTTACTTTGGAATACCCATTTTTCAAAAACCTTTCTTACTACTTCCTTTCTTTCTCATATCTCCAACCGTACTCACCATCTCCCAACAGGAAACTTTTCCCTGCACACGGTTGACGGGCGACAACTCTGCCAAACATCTGAAAATTATTGATTACGTCCCCTCTTTCCGTTGGGCAGAATCTGTGTGGGAAAAAAGAAGGAAAGGTAACATGACTGATAATCTTGGTCATTTGTTTGTGTGTGTGTGTGTGTGTGTGTGTGTGTGTGTGTGTGTGTGTGTGTGTGTGTGTTTGTTTGTTTGTTTGTGCTTTTTGTCTGTGTATGTACGTGCGTATTTATGTTTGTGTGTGTTTCTATCACCATCTCCCTTTCCCTTCACTCTTTATCTTTCTTTTCTCTCTTT